TTGTACCACAGAGCCTTGACAATTATAATTCAGAATTAACTTTTCATTTGAAGTATTCATACTTTGTGAGTCATATTTTTAAAACCATTTTGTATTCTTCATTCAAACCTTGTTAAACTGTTTCGATGACTCATTCTCCTGCACATTTAATTAGCACTCCAATTTTTCCCTCCATTTTTTTGGTCAACATTTATACTTTGTCCAAAGATCTGTCTTAAAAAAATTATATTGTTCAATATATCTTTATTTTTAATAGTGATTTTCTTCATTTCCGTATTTCTTTTACTATTTTAAACTCACAAAACAGTAATCAGACAAACCAGCTGAAGTTTCAAAGTTGTTAAACTATTCATGATAGCTGGAAAAGTGTAAGTGATACAGATGTGAAGCAGAATGAAGCAAAGCCAAAACTTTCCCTTGGTTGCCTCTAAAAAGCTCCTTGAATTCCACTTTATTCACTGGTCTCCACTTCTATGAACAACACAGCATATTCAGATCTATTCTTGCTATCCACTAGGGCTTAGAATATCTATAAGCTTCCTGCTTACTGGGGAAAAAAGCCTCTTGGGTAGGCCTTTTGATGATACTTCCACAACTCTAGTAAAGAACAGTAAAGTAGGGGGTATCTTCCCAAGTAGGGGATTGTCTTTTCTAATGGCTATCAGAGATTACCATAAATGGAAACCTTTGATCTGCTAACTCTGTTCTTAGTTCACTATCTTTGAGGATGCCTGAAATAGTATAGTGTATATGCCTTGTCTATGCTTTGTATAGTGCAAAGTACTTGCCCTTTATAGTGCAAAGTATTAAAGCAAAGTATTTCAATATCACTGCCATCAAACATGTGTAAAACATAACAATTATGTGTAATCAGGACAATTTGGACCCATTATGACTTTTGTCAGGATTCCTGACAAAAGGAACTGACTCACCAGTTTCTCCTTCTGATGGTGCTCCAGGACCATGCAGCTTGCCCAAGCCTATGCAATCCTGGCTCTTCCCACAAGAAAATCAGTGGAGAACTGAACCTCTGATTCTGCAGGCAAGTGCTCTAAAGCAATGACATAGCCAGTCAGCTACACACACACTAGAGGTAAGTGGGTACCATCAAACCCAACTGGGGGAATTGGAAAAGTCACAGCTAATGCTGTCATCAGCCTGACATAGTCACTAATAACCAATTTCAGCCACCAAATACCAATTCAGGTGCAGAGTTACCTATCAGTCTGAAACTGGGCTGCTCAACATTAAACAATGGTGTCCCCCTTACTCAAGGAAGCTCCTTCATGCATAAATCAGAAAGGATCCTACTTTCCCCCTATAGTCGGGAACATAACATATTTTCAGCATTTCTAATGAAGTAGAAAATATACTTCAATCTGTACAACTTTTGAATCCTTAACAGTGTTGCCACATTATAATACTTCTAAAAACACAAACACAAAGAAAGCAGGCCATAGGCTAAACAGGTACAGTAATGGAGCACCCTAAATTGCCATGTGGCAGCAAGCCTTTGATGTTCATGTGAACATAAATTACTGCATCCAAAAAAGGGATTAACAATGAATGATGCAGCTGGCATAGGTGGTTTGCAACCAGAGTATGGGGTACCCACCTCAAACTTTGGGGTGAGCCTCCCAGGAGTACAAGGATATCAACACTTCTGTGTAAATAAAAATCAATGCTGCCAAGAGGACAAATTCAACCATGGCAATTTCCCACAAACTTACATTTTAGGGGAAAAATTCAAAAATTTGATATTTAGATAGAATAAAATTGTTTTTTTTAAATGTGGGGTTCAAATGTAACTGGACTGTTTAATTCAATTAAAAACAGAAAGTTCTTTCAAGCACTGAAATTCATAGCACAATGTAAAAAAAAAGTAGCTAAGAGACCAAAGCTATTCAGATTGCAAGTATGTGATGAATTAGTTATGGTTGTGCTTTTCCTGTTCAGCCACGCACGGTGAGCAATCGGTTTTTCCACTGTAACAGGAAATACGATACCCATGTCGTCACCAGGTCACCTTATTCAGAAGCAAGAGAAACAAACTAGCTGGCATGCATCCTCTTAGACATTCATCCAATTAGCATTGCAATGTAGTCTCTGCTTTTGAGAATACTTGCAAAACTTCTGGCTTCATTCTGTAGAAACAGAGGCTTCTGAACTTTCCAGTTCTTCCAGTTAGCAAGATTGAAAGCATTTAAACGAAACACTCTTATCAATTTATCAGTTGGCACAAAACAACTCCAGATGTTTTGCTTTTCTGCACAGGGTGGAATGGATGGCAAGTTTGCTGTTTTCAAAGACAAATATGATTACTGACAGAGAGTGTAAACAGTTTAAATGAAAATCAGAAGCATGAGGTAGTAGGGACAAAAGTTTATGCTCCTCAATCAACATCGCTCTGATTTGCAGAACTACAAAAGGAAGTGTATTGTCTACCAGGTGAATTTGAAAAGAAAGAAAGAAAGAAAGAAAGAAAGAAAGAAAGAAAGAAAGAAAGAAAGAAAGAAAGAAAGAAAGAAAGAAAGAAAGAAAGAAAGAAAGAAAGAAAGAAAGAAAGAAAGAAAGAAAGAGCTCATTGCAGTGTAGAACCTGTGTTTGCCTGTTGTACAAATAACATTTTAGACATCTTTAATGTCACAAAAGTCTTTTCCTTCATCTCTTTTTAGTAACAGAATTTATTTCACACGCAGCTTTCATTCAATCATTGTTAGAACAAGAGCCACACATTCTCCACTTCTGTTCAAGATAAACATGCACAGAACTGCACTGCAAATTTCAATACAGATTCAAACCTTCCCAATCCAAAGGAGTCTTAAATTTCTTATGTAAGTAGAAATGAACTGTGATAAATTCTAAATACATGACTTTAGTATTGGGGTGTACATTTCTGAAAGTATTTCAAGATGCAAACCTGCAGCTCTGGTTTTCTAGGCATAGGCATCCTTCAGTCTCGAGAGACTATGGTAACATGCTCTGAATCGAGGAGTGTCCTCTCCAGAACATGAAGCCCGGGTAAGGAAATATGGAGGATAGGCTGTTACCCAAGCAGCAGATCCCCCCTCTCCACATTGCTGAAATGGTCCAATGGAAAGGCAAGAGCCAATACGACTGGTTCCAGCAATGTCGCAGGAGTTGGCAGAACGACACATGCTGCCTTCGGGACTCCAGCTCCGGAGTTTGCCTCGAGGTTAACTCCTGAAGCCTTCCTGAAGCCTTTTCCATGAGTGGATATAGCCACAAGGCAGTGGAGGTTTGAAGTCGGAGTTTTCCTTCTCCTAGATGGGCTGCCTTCCATGGCTGACGAGCCCCACCTACCCGGCTTGGTTTTCTTACAATATGTTTATAGCATAATGAGAAAGCTAGTAACAGAGAGATTGTGGCTGCTAAATCTTTTATCAAGAGGAACATCAACAGAATTGTTCAAGCTCCAGGTCTTCAGTTCAAATGACTGAGTAAAAAAACAAAACAAAACAAAAAACAAAACAAAAAACACACAGTTGTACAAAATATATTATCCAAACTTACATACAGCAATTAGCCCTGAATTTCTTGATAACTATTTATTGCTCCTCAAATGCTGCAGACCAATCTAGATGAACAGTAAGCTGTCACTGCAAAGTTATTTTTCTGACTGAACACTGAAATCGAAGAGTTGAACACAACAAAAGTTTGCTTTAAAATATTAAACTCTACTGAATTAAAAATGTCTACCCTTATGACCTACTTTGCATTTCTTATTCTACATGGTGCCCCAGTTCTCCAAAGTACTTTATAAAGGCATCTTCACAAGCAATGCACCTTTCACTTTGAAATGTCCTATCTTACGAATGCTGTTAATGTGGGCCACAGAGGAGAAGAGATTCGGTTTTAAAATCAAATACTGTACAAACACTTGTCAATGCAGATATCAGATCTGAATTACAGATGGGGGAAAATATATAAACCTTTGTGCTAAGCACAGTTTGTAAGACACTAGGGATACAAACAAGGCAAGACCATTTCCACTGCTGATACTAACAGTGAAAATATGTTTACTTAGAAGTAAGATCCTCTGTCATTCACTGGAGTTCACTCTTGGTTAAACATATTTAGCTGAAAACCACTTTTGAACGCTTTCATGGGGCATATCAAAACACAGAACAGAAATTGTTAGTTTTAAAGTATAACAGCACTGCATTTTAAGGTATACAGAACTCTTGAAAGAAAATCCCATTTAAAATGCTCCTTCCCACACTGTTATATGCACTATCAATTATTTTAAAATTATTATTTTAAAACTGGATGTAGAGCCTAATCAAGACAGATGTTATTATTTGCATAATTGAAGTACATGCCCATTTAAACATTAGGTATCAATGAATCCTAGCATCTTGTGCCTTGCTTCTTTGTAAATTACTCCCAGGATGAAGCTGGACCCTTAAATGCCTGAACTGTTTGCTCCTTAAACCAAAGGGGCTGGGAAGCAACCTGAGAGAACTCTGCGATGAAGCTGACACTTTGCTCTGTTTGTTATTGTTCCACATAGGCTTTAAACAGGTGCTCAGAACACGATCCAGGAGACCCCGCAAGCCCTAGTGCAGATTAAACCCAGCCCTACTCTGCAGTTTCCTACGCTCCGGGCAGGCCCAGCGCCGTTCCGCGAACCGAGAACCAAGAGGGATGGAAAAAAACACCCCTAAGGACTGGACGCGGAGGATTGGGGGAAGGAGGGCGAGAGAGGCCGGGGCTGAGCCCTGCCTGGCAGTCACCCTTGGACTCGACCCTGGGAGCCACTATCCCTCGCGAGTGGGTCTTCCACGGCACTCCGAAGAGGCCGGCCGGCCCTCACTTCCTTCACGAGCTTCCCGGGCTTAATTCGCGCCTCCAAAGGCTCTAAGCAGGAGTCACCGCGAAGGAACGAGAGAGAGGGCCGGCTGAAAGAGAAGCCATTCAAACGCGTGGCGAGGCCTGAGCGAAGGCCGCCGCCGCCGCCGCCACGCACCGCTCCTTACCGGTGGTGGAGAGCACGGTGCTGGCGAAGAAAAGGGCCGAGGTGAAGTCCCAGTTCCAGTTGCCGGAGGCGTTGCTCAGGACGGACACGCCGTAATTGCTGGCTTCCAGGACGCGCGCCAAGAAGCTCTCGAGCTGCTGCTCCGACAGGCACTCGTGCTCCTCCACGAAACGCCGCTTGAGTTTATGCAGCTCCTGGCGCAGCAGGTCCTCGTAAGGCAGCTCCACCGAAGAGAAGACCACGGCGCCGAAGACCAAGTAGAGCAGGTAGCCCAGCACCAGCAAGGCGAAGCACCAGGCGGAGCGGTGCTTCTCCACCAGCCTCACGCAGGAGCTTCCCGCCAGCGACTGCAGCATCTTCCCCCGCCAGAGCCTCAAGGTCAACAACAGCGCCAGCCCGCCGCCGCCGCCGCCGCCCTCAGCTTTCCGACGTCTGCGGCCCCTGAGTGAGCCGGGGAGGGGAGCTGCGCGCGGGAATCCTGGCGGCCCTGAGCGCGCGGGCTGAAGCGAAGGAGCTCGAGGGCGGGAAGGCCCGGTCCGGGCGCTCGCCCAGCCACTCGCAACTCGAGGGAAAGGAGGCTCCGAAAGCTCTCCTGGACCTCCGTCTCCGCCCGACCCCTCCCGGAGCCTCAAGCTCTGCCCTAAAGGGACACGCGCCCTCCCGTCGCCTTGAAAGGGGCTCCACTTCGCTCGTTCCCCGGTTTCCTCCTGTCTGTGGCTCTCAGTATGGAAAGCCTCGATGATGTGGCGGCGCTCACGTGGCTTCCCTGCTCAGGTAACCGGCGGTGGGCCGCGCGTCAGCAGGAGCTGCTGAACTGGTTCCAGCCGAGAAGCCACCGTGCGTAACAGACGGAGGACACACTCGCCTCCCCACACCCATGGGGCGGGAAAGGGGGAACTAAAGGGCGCAGAAAGGGATAGCTGCTGGTGCAGGAAACAAACAAATTATAATTACACTATGAATTCATGGAAGGCAGCCCATCTAGGAGAAGGAAAACTCCGATTTCAAACCTCCACTGCCTTGTGGCTATATCCATCGATGGAAAAGGCTTCAGGAGTCAACCTTGAGGCAGAATCCAGAGCCGGAGTCCCGGAGGCAGTTTGTGTCGTTCTGGCAACTCCTGCCACGTTGCTGGAACCAGTCGTATTGTTTCTTCCCTTTCCATTGGAACATTTCAGCAACGGGGAGAGGGGGGGATCTGCTGCTTGGGTAACAGCCTATTCTCCATACAGTATTACTTTACCCAGGCTTCATGCTCTGGAGAGGACATGCCTCGATTCAGAGCATGTTACCATAGTCTCCGGAGACTGAAGGATGCCTATGCTATGAATTCTGCATTCCACCCCAGGCTTTAATTTTTGTGTGTAATGATTCTGGGCTGTTTGGTCCCAACTTTTTTGCATTTGAAGGTACACCTTGCCACTTGATCTATATAGGGCTGCTCTGTTTCAGGATTCCTGTGTGGACTGTAGACTTTTGTGTGGACTGTACTCTTCTGAACACAAAATAGGACTGTTGAGAATAGAAGGCTACCCAGGGAGGAGGAGAGAGAGACCCACAAGGTAGTTAGCCATCTCTGGGTAATAGTTGGATGGATGGATAGAACGACAGATATCTCCTTAGGGGGCTCGAGATGACGCACAACAAAATCATACAACTATGACAAGTCGAAAAGACTGTTCAGAACTATATATTGAAAAACAAATAAACATTGGCCAATGTTAAAAACAATTTTAAAAGCAAATACGAGTAGAGTGCTCCCTAAAACACTACTTATTGCTTGAAAGCCTGTCTGGAAAAGATCTTTGCCTGAAGATAGAAGAAGAGAGAAGGCCAGTTTGGTTTCTTGGGGCAGGGCATTCCAAAAACTCAGAGCACCGCTTGAGAAGGCTCTCTCTTGTAGCCTCACTTCACAAGATTGGGAAGGTGGTGGGACTGAGAGAACCCCTCCCCACACACACACACCAGATCATCTTAAAAGCCTGGTAGGCTCATAAGGGTTAATACGATGCTTCAAATAGCCTGAACCCAAGCTATATAGGGCTTCATACATAATAACCAGCATTTTGAATTGAACGCGGAACAGACTGGTAACCGGTTAAGCTGTCATAATGAAGTTACATGCTCCCTGTAGCCAGTGCCAATCAACAGTCTGGCTAAAGCATTTTGAACCTGCTGATGTTTCTGCATACTTTTCAAAGACAGCCCCATGTAGAGCACATTGCAGTAATCCAAATGGGATGTAAATAAGGCATGCATCACCATAGCAAGATCTGACATCTCCAAGAATGGATGCAGCTGGCACACCAGTTTTAACTGTGGAAAGGCATTTCTGGCCACCACTAAGGCTTGTGTATCCCATGTCAGGGTTGGACTATATGTATATCATTAGTTCATGTTTATATTTCCTGTTGCAGTCATTACCATGTAGGCCAGTGAGATTTTGGCACCAGCATCTGCATAATGGGAATCAAATATTTACATTCAGATGTTTACATTCAAGTAAACATTCAGGACATTTTTCCTGACTAAGGACTATTGTTAAGATATTGAAAATAGGTTATCTTAGAAGTGGACAGACTGTCTTTGATTGGATGTTTTTTTTTAACAAAGGTTGGAGGACTGTCTGTTAGGGATGCTTTAGTTATAGATTTCCTGTTTTGTCAGACCTTTGGGAGTCTCTTCTACCTCTATACTTTCATGGTTCTATGATTCTATAGCCTGAATTAGAGACAAGTAAACATGCCCTTTAGTCAACAGTACTGCCCATGGATTTTAAAGGGTTCCCTTTCTCTTTCTCTCTAGCTGTAGAACACACAGTCATAGAAAGCTGCACTGAGGTGAACCAATAACTGCTGTGGAATCTGCACAAGTGGATGTGCAGGCTTGTTATGCTGCCATAATAGAAATGGTAAATTGCTACAGTGTTAAAGATTTGAAATGTTGTGTTTAGTTGGGTGTAGGTGACTGCTCTGTACAGTATCTGCATTTTTTCTGTGCTACATAATGGATCATTAGCATTTAACAGACTTGCACTGGATTATGTTGCTGGCACAATGGCACAATATGATGTATAAGGTCCTCATATGTTTTCCATTGACCAATGAAAACTATCCAGTCCCTCAGTGCCACACATGACTCATCTCTACTCTCAGCGTGTAAGTAAATGTATCAAATAAGATGGAGGGAGGGAAGAAGGGAGGGAAGGAAGGAAGGAAGTAAAAAGAGAGAAGGAAAGGAGGAAGGGAGGGAAGGAAGGAAGTAAAAAGAGAGAGGGAGGGAGGAAGAATTGTAGAACTATCCTACCATATGCTAATAAATAAAGTACCTGGGAAAATTCGGAAGAGAAGAATTGTAGAACTATCCTACCATATGCTAAGAAATAAAGTACAGTACCTGGGAAAATTTGCCATTGATGAGAAAGGACATAACCACCTATGTTGCGCTGTGTCAACAGATGATCGCTATACACATTATTAACAAGGGGCAGAAAAGTGTTGTATCTTCTGTAACACTATTCAATATGTCTGCCACATAATTTGAGGAAGCAAATTGTAGAACTATCCTACCATATGCTAAGAAATAAAGTACAGTACCTGGGAAAATTTGCCATTGATGAGAAAGGACATAACCACCTATGTTGCGCTGTGTCAACAGATGATCGCTATACACATTATTAACAAGGGGCAGAAAAGTGTTGTATCTTCTGTAACACTATTCAATATGTCTGCCACATAATTTGAGGAAGCAATGTTATGGTCTTTTGATGTCTAGGGAAATGAAGTTACAATTCACACCGTGGCGCAGTGGTTAAAACACTGTACTGCAGCTAAAACTGTGCTCACGACCTGGGGTTCAAATCCCAGGTAGCCGGCTCAAGGTTGACTCAGCCTTCCATCCTTCCGAGGTCGGTAAAATGAGTACCCAGCTTGCTGGGGGGGGGGGCAATGTGTAGCCTGTATAATTAAATTGTAAACCACCCGGAGAGTGCTTGTAGCTCTATGGGGCGGTATATAAGTCCAAAAAATAAATAAATAAATTAAATAAATTCACACCAAAGGCATAACTTAATTATGTCAAACCAGACTTTTGCTTTCAGAACAGGGTCGTAAAAGTCCCTGTCTACACATGTTCCCATCTGGCCCCAAACAGAGCCCAACTCTAGAGTAGATCTGGTAGGTGAACCCAAGGCTGCAGGGAAGAAAGGAAATACATTCCACCAGTGGTTTATGTTCTGTTGATTGAGCCAAAGGTAAGTGAGCTTTATCTTGTGAAAAATCTTTCACAAAAAAATGTCAAATGGGGGTTGCAGGGTCCATTTGCATCAGTCAAAGAAAGATTTTGTTTAACATTGCCGATCAGACCACAGTGTCTGAAATCTGAAGGTGCACACAGTGCAGAAAGATATATGTAGGACATATTTACATTAAAATATCAGAATACCTGATCTTGCATTTTGCCTTTATCTTTACATGATGACAGCCAACGATAAATGGAAGTAATCTAATAGTGACTGCCAGTTTCTGAAGCAATGGTACCATGGTACTTTTCACCATATATACTATCCTCCCATGATAAGGTAGCTTTGGATGAGGGGGAACAAAGAAGAAAGGCAGGTCTAGCTTTCTGTAACCTTTGGGCCATCAGCCATTTTGGACTATATCTCTCATAATCTCTTATCCTTATGCAGCTGTTGCATGGGGCTGCCATGGCCACAACATCTGGAGGGCCGAAGGTTTCTCAACCATGCCTTATATCATACAGGTGCTGGCAAAGGAGGAAACAATTGGAAAATTAACAAAATATTGGGTATTTTGAGGGGGATCCACTATTGTTGGCAGGCCTTTTCTGCTCCTGTGGTCGAGATGAGCAAATTAATGTAAAATGAAAGAGAAAGCTGAATCACACTTCTGCACTAACGCTGCCTCTCTAGCAGCTGTTTTGTAGAAGCAGAGTTAGCACAGTGGACAGTTAAGTTAGGAAACTAAATGCTGTGTATATAAACAGATGTAAAAGGTTACAGCAAATTTTAAATAAATATTGTAGATGTATTTTTTAAAAATCATTGTTGATGCCATTAATGTGTAATAGCCATAAATATGCAGTGTGCATTTCCTATCACCTTAACGTAGAGAGTACGTCTGTCCATAGTTGCTTACAGTCTGAGTGGACAATGGTAGAAGGAACTGATAGAGGGGAGGGATGAAAGATTAATATCTTTTATTACCTAGATATCATAATTGTAAGAATGAAGTTTTGTGGTGAGAAATGACTTTTGAATCCAGACGTCTTTATGAAAGCCTTATGAAACTCACAAAAGGCATTGCCCTAATCTGGAATGATCAACCTAGTTATCATCCTTAAAACAAATCCTGATGAGAATTAGCATTATTCTTTATGGACTTCTCTCCAGAAAACACCTTGATTCAAAGTGCGGTTAGTAATGATTTCTTCAACTTTCACCTACAATATTACTGCGAATTATATCTTCAAACTGGTTTAGCATCTAGTAAATGTTTTCAAGTCCATCAAGGGAGATTCCTCCAAAGAATCTGATGGAACAACAGGGGCATTCTACCATGTAATTATTATCCACTCTCTGTTGAACTGACCAGGTGCGTCTTTGGATGTGAGGGTTACTGATCCAGGCCATGACTATTGGCCTAGCCATTTTGTTAATTCAACAAAGAATCCACATCTCTGATATGCATAGTTAGAACTGGATAGTCTTTGGTGATGAGATTAAATTGGTAGCCATACGAAATCATGATGATCAGAAACACAGTTGTGAACAACAAATTTTAATGTGACAGATGTTGATAAAATGAGTGTTAATACTCAGCATCATGCAAAATTCTATGTAGTATTTACAGACTGAAGTTTGGTTTAGCACTGAACAGTGAGACAACAAAAAATACAGTGTGTATTCATTGTTGATTTTACAATATTGTTAAATAAGGATGT